CTCACGACCAATAACAGTGGCGAATATTCGAACTGGTCCTGGGCCTCCCCTAGGTCTACTCGGCCTCGAATGAGTACCTGGTGCTGTGTGTAAACATCAGCACTGGGGAGGGCAAATGCGGCCAAGCGTGGTGCTGGCCACCCACCCCCTCGTGTGCTGTGGCGGCCTTCATAGGTGCTCGCTATAGCTGCTTGCACTTGCCCCAACAGTCTTTGGGAGGTCATTTTGGGAGGTTGCATAGCACGTGAGTGGGTGGTCGGGTTTTGAGACTTGGTCACAATTGCGATACCATCGACTTTTGAGTTTTAAAAAAACTAAATACACGTGCCGTTACAATTTTATAACCTGTCTGCTCTGAATCTCTGCCTGCCTGTAGGTCTGGAGGTGGCCAACATTCACCTGTCCCGCCCTTCTATAACATCTTTATAATTTGAATTCGTCGCGAACCTACTCACGCTTGTGTGGTACGTGGATGCGAAGCCCCATTTCGCCAGACCACCGATGGACTGACGCGAGTGCCACCGCCACACGTCGTGTGGGTCGTGGGTTATTTGACCATACTTCACCCGACTGGTGCGATATGCCGCAGTCGACAACCTGTAGCGACGGTTCGGCATGGTGGTCGCCCATCTAGGCGCTGTCCAGGCTCACACCCGCTTATCTTCCGAGATCTGGCATAATTTGGGTGGTTTGTTTCGTATCATTAGTAAGTCAAGAATGAGGCGGGAACATTTTTAAACCAGGACACAATCCCGATTCTAGGATAAAGCTTCTGGTGGTCAAACCGAAGAAGCGTTTCTGAAACCACTGGGACTGCCCCGGCCAAAACGGGATGCTTGGTAGCTTCATCCTCTATCCCATTAAACCCCCAGCAGTAAGCCAATATTGAACCGCATCCAACCTCTCCCTGCACCCCACATCGCCTTGCCTCTCACACAAACTCTAAGCCCCGACTTCTATTGCTGCGCAGCTTAAAGGCATGTTCACAATCCCCGAATCTGCCGAGATTATTTTGGCTCGCAGCAACGTGATTTTGCTTCCCACCCACGCACCCACCCACCCACAAATCCACCCAACCAACGAATACCCCACCAACCAACCAATAACCCACCCACCAACCAATCAATAACCCACTAACCAACCAATAACTCATACTGGTAGGAACGAAGTTGTAAACTGAGTGTACCAGCCTGCAATAGATTAATGTGTCCGTCCGTCCGTCCCCTTTCAATACTTTAACGAAGTGAAATCTCGTGCTGTTGGGTGTAAAATCAGCAATATACAGCGCAGAGACTTGTCCTACCAGCCCACCCTGCAGGGACCTGTTCAACCAACCCATCCACCCACTAACCCATCCATCCACCGACAAACCCACCAAATCGACCAAAACCCCACCACCAATCCACCCAACCAACCAATAACCCACCCATCAACAAAGGCGAACAAATAATAATTGTCTATTTGCGACATCATCGCCCAAACGCGGCCACGCCAGGACAGACTCGGCGCAATCCGTGAACGCGCCACGGGAGTGGGGGGCTGGGGGCAAAGGGCGGGGGTGCGGAGGTGGGGTCGTTTGGAGAAGCGAACGAGGATTCTTCAGCTGGTGTGAAATCGTGTGCTATGAAGAAAGGCGACGAAGCGTTTGTGTGCGTGTATATATAGTGAGTTTCGGGCACAAGCACGGGAGGCATTCGTTATTCTTCGCCACTACTGTGAGAGTACATTCGACGTTATGCCCCTTCGATCGAGCCACGTGTGGTGGGTTAAAGAGCCGCATGCCGCTCGGAGAGACGCCAGTTTGGCCACCCCTTGATAGAGAAAAAGAAGGGCCATTACCCAAACAAAACTTAGCGGATTTTTTTTTTCGTTTTAGGGCCCCAGTGTTACTGACGAATGTGTTGAGTTTGTGTTTGTGCACCACTTCCTCCGTAGCAGCAGCATCACCAGATGATGTGTGTGGATTTAGGTTGCCACCATGTCCTGGTTTTACCAAGATAGTCATCTGGCAGCTGCTGTCTCCACGTTAAAACACTCCGGGACGTTGTGTAAGCTGCGCAATAAATAAACAAAAAACGCCACTCAACGCATTTACAATTCTGGCAACTGCGCGATGCTGCCGGTTGTTTAACTATCATTGCTCTCCACCGTCACACCGGTGGTGCAACACTAATACATTGAGCACGTTTGTTCATCACGTGACAACTCTTATTAACGCAATGCACAGCGAGTGGGTCAAGGTCCGATTTTGGTCGTGTAGGCGATTTCGGTTTGGTCGCAACCCCAGAGTGACGATAGCCAGGCTCAAATATCCGATTCGCTTTCCGAGACCACGGCGCTATCGGGCAAGCTCAGGGTTGATCTTGGCCGCGTGAAGGCCACGTCGGTCTGGCGCCACCGTGCCTCGTTTCAGCAAATTACGCTCCTTTTTCATTAAAAGGCGCAGCGAGGAGGCGACGCCGAGGCTCCACGCGAGTTTTGCCCCCCTCCTCCTCCATCCGCTGCGTTAATTTAATCAAGCGCAATTAATGCTTAAATGAGAGAGAGATGAGATGAGATTCTGGCGTCGCGCAAAAAAAAAGAATCACCGAGATTGCCTGTTAATGTAATCGGTAAAAAAACAAATCGTGTCCTCGGGTTCGTTAAAAAGTTCATCCGTGTCCGAGCGGAAAAAGAGAAAACAACGATTAACAACAAACCCGGCCACGTGGCTTAGCGGCAGAGCGAGCGGCTCGGAATCGGAAAGTTGCAAGTTTCAAAACCCGACTCAGCCTATCATCTCTCCGGGGGTCGATAAAACATGTGCAATTTTGTAGGGAAGTAAATAGTGGTGGGGGGAGGGGATATACTCGCCCCCGTCAAGGCAATGCGGACTTTACCACAACCGGCTCAGGGCTGTACACAGGAGGTGAGTACCGCCCCAGTGCTCAATTCGAGGAGATCACTCGAATATACAAGAGCGTCTGTCAAGCAGCGCTCCACTCCAGTGATTACATTCACCTGTGCTGAGACCAGTGCTGACTTGCAGCCGTAATTATGTTGCCAAGCCACATCAAATCTTCTCGCCTTGCTTTTTTTTCTCTCTAGCCTCTACGTACGATTATAAGAACGTCGGGTGCTACAGGAGACGATTAATATGGATAGTCGGGCCTTGTGCTCTTAGTGTGTAGTGCCTTACGCCGGGAATCCCCATTCGAAGCCAGCCTAGCAGCGCTCCGCGTTTTATTCGGGTGTTTCGGTTTATTAATTGGTCGATAGGCACCTTCATAGGGGCCGTCCATAAATGACGTCACGCACCTAGGGGTCGGGGGGGGGGGTCAGACATTTGTGACGATGTGTGACGAGGGGGAGGGGGGGATTGAGAAATGTGACGTCACATCAAAATGCGCAACTTTAAATAAATATAGACAACACGTTCTACTTAATTAGATAGACTTTTTAACAAATGTTTTCTCCTACAACATCAGAGTGCAACGCCACATTAAATACGCACTACAATGACAATAGTTTAAAGCGATTTGAAGTATGTTTTATTTTGGGGGGGAGGGGGGGCAGAGCTTTGTGACGTCATATTTGAGCGGGGGTCTGACTTTTTGCGACGCCGTATGACGAGGGGGGGTCAAAAATCGTCAAAAATCGCGTGACGTCATTTATGGACGGTCCCATATATAGAGGACCGCGGAGCTTGTGGGGGGTGGGATTTGGTGCCGGCTCACCACCAGGCTCCTGCTGCTCCTGCTCTTGCTGCTGCTGCTCTTACGTGGTTCCTGCTCATGGCGCCGACTGAGCCGTCCGCTCTCTCTTGGCGAGCGTGCGAGCGGTGGCGACGCGTCAAGGGCTCTTACGACCGGTTCCCAGATTCACTCCGATAGGAGCAGGTGCGGTGTGAGCGGGTGGTCGGGAGGCAGTGAGTGATGGAGGCAGCGAGTGGAGAGATGGAGCGCGACAGGGAGGAAGGGGAGCAGTGAGGGAGAGTGAGATCGGGATGGAGGGGGTGAGGGGGAGTGCGATTGATGGGAGGAGTGACAGAGAGTGTGAGAGGGGGAGGGAGAGAGTAAGAGAGAGGGTGTGAGGAAGGGAGAAAGAGGAGGGGGAGGAGCAGGCCATTATGATCCGCATCCCTCCCCTCCATTACCTCGAGCGTTCATTAGACAAAGCGTGCCCCCCCCCCCCCACCAATATCCTCCACCCCCCATCACGTGGCTCGCACTCCGCGCAGGGGAGCGCCTTCCACTCTGTCGCCTGCTGCGTTCGAAAGCTGTGCGCGCGCGAGAGGGAGAGCGAGCGAGCGAGCGACACGATGATTCCGGCACAGAGGGCGAGAGATTCCAGCCGCCCCGCGTCTCATGCTGCCAGCCAGTGAGCTTAGCCAGTCGCATAGTCAGGCAGCCAGTCACCGTGTCAGCCAGCCAGCCAGCCGGTCGGCCATTTACCTAGTCAGATAGCCAGCGAGCTAGCCAATTAGGTACCTCAGTCAGACGGCGAAGTCACTCGGCTGGCCAGATAGCGAGGCATCCAGATAACCAGGCAATTAGGTGGGCAGGCGGTCAGGCAAGCACGAAGACTGACAGCCAGTTAGGTATTGCGAGCCGGTCATACAGCAGCCAGTCAGCCAGCCAGTCAGCCAGCCAGCCAGTCAGCGCGCACGCTCCTTACAAGGCTCCCAGCCCAACCGAAAATCCGCTCGGCGGTTCATCCACGCGGATTCCCAGCTCCACAGCTGTTCAGCCGCTCCGCCGTTCATTCACACATCAATCCACCCACCCACCCATAGACCCACTCCCCTCGCTCAGCTGCAGCAGCATCATCAATAGCAGCTGCTGCAGTAGCATCAAGTAGCAGTAGCAACAGCTACAGCATCATCATCAGTAGTAGTAGCAGCAGCATGGTCATCAACAGCAGCTGCTGCAGTAGCATCAAGTAGCAGTAGCAACAGCTGCAGCATCATCATCAGTAGTAGTAGCAGCAGCATCATCATCAACAGCAGCTGCTGCAGAAGCATCAAGTAGCAGTAGCAACAGCAGCATCATCAGTAGTAGTAGCAGTAGCATCATCATCAACAGCAGCAGCTGCAGCAGCATCAAGTAGCAGTAGCAACAGCTGCAGCAGCATCATCAGTAGCAGTGGCAGGATCACCACCAGTGGCATCATCTTTGCGCCGAAGCTACCGAGTTGGCAGCGAGGATGGAACGCGGCGCGCACGCGGAGTTACGCGAGGCCAGATGATCACAGCAGCAATCCGACCCTCCATGTATGACTCCGCACGCCAAAAGAAAACAACAACAGCAAGACAACAACAACGAGAAGATCCCAACACTGTGAAAGTTTAATCGCAAGCAACAGCTCCAAAACCGACGACAGCAAAAAACAGCATCGCCGCCGACACCCCTGCCTCTCTCTCTCTCTCTCGTAGCCGCGAAGAGCAGCGTGAAGCAGTGGATAGAGAATGCGAAGTGCCCTGGCGCGCCGCGGACGGCGCGAGAAGCTGGCCGCGCAGATTTGTTTCGTGGGCGCCGCTCTGCTGGGGACCGCGGTGCTCAGCAACTTGGCCTCTCTCGCAGGTAACACGGCGGCATCGCGTTCTCTCGCTCACCCTCTCCTCTCTCCGCACGCACGCGGTGCCCCTGACGGAGCGCTCGGGCACGGCTGGCAGGGCGGCTGCCCCCCCCCCCCCCAACCAAACCCCCCCCTCTCCCGAAGCGGCAGACGTCAGCCCGAATGTGTGGCCGAATTGTTGGCGACGCGAGCAAGTGGGTGGGGGGTCGGGGCGGGGCGGGGTGGGGGCTCGCATTTTTTGGCAAGGGGAGGGCGGGCGGGGTCGGGGGGGTGATTCCTGCGCCGCCGCTGTTGTGGGTGCTGGCAGCGGAACGTCTCTCGCGCGCAGGTTGCACTTAGACACAAACTCTGCAGCCTACACTCAGATGTCCGCCCCCCCCCCCCCCCCCCCCGTATAGCCTGTAACAGACTGTTGGGTGCAAGTGCTGTTAGCGAATAGCGCCTATGAAGGCACGGCACACGTAGGGGTTAGGTGGCCAGCACCACGCCCGGCCGCCTTTGTCTTCCCAGTGGCGGCGATGTTTACACACCGCACCAAGCACTCGCGTGAGGCTGAGTCGACCTAGGGGAGGCCCAGGACCGGTTCGGATAATCGTCACCGGTATTGGCCGTGAGCGGGAATCGAACTCGGGTCGCCGGGTTCGTAGCGCAGCGTAGCGCTAACCACTCGCTCATCACTATCCATACACATCCACACAGTGACCCGTATGCTACTCGCACAGAGACCCATGTAGCCACGTGGGGACCCATAGACTCACTACATACTTATAATAATAATAGTGCTGGCTGCCGCTGGCCGCTTATCGTTTTATATTGGCCCTGTGGACCTGTGCCAACACACAACAACAACAGTGCACACATTTTGCTTCGCGCATGTTTTGTGTGCATCTCTGTGTCGTAGCATCGTGACCTTGTTTAAATGGACAAGCTGGGCCATACACAAGCTCACCAGGGGGGGTTGGGTGGGTGGATGGGGGGCGCGTCCACAGTCAATGTTAAAACAAACTTTAAACAAATGTCAAACGCTGAGCAGACTGAGCAATGGTGTCATTTTGCGCCCGTCCGCCGCGCTCACTCTGCCCTGCAGCCCTCTCGCCACTGCTGTTTAAACTACGCATCTCGTACCGCTGAGCTTACAGATCTGTGTTTCAGAAGGGAATCTGACTATCACGAATGATGACTCAACAAAGGTGTCTTATCAGGTGGAAATGCGTTGCAACCAAATTGCTCTGAAAGGCGTGACGTTGATTGGAAGTGTGGAGGGGGAGAAAACACTGCAGGACCCGGAGAGAAAAACAAATCCACGCGACCACGGGGAGATAAAGACACACACACTCCAAATATATAGCAGGACGTTAGGGGTCGGGATCGAACCCACGGCCTCCTGTATGCAAGGCGAGGTATTTAACGTCTACGCCACCGTGCCGCTGTTAGATATCGCCCCAGCATTTATATCACCTTGACTGGACCAGCGTGCTGAAGTACGGACAGTAGGAATTTAGAATATTGGGGAGTGTGGGGTTGAGGGGGTGACGCTTCAGCTGTTGAGATGTCGAAGTCGTTTCTTTTCCATCGGTAATTTGCGTAGCGGTGGAGGAGCGGTGGCGCAGTGGGTAGCACGCCCCTGGCGCGATGAACCAGAATAGGAATCATCATTATTTTGACTGGAGGAAGCCAACCACGAGAACCCAAAGTTCAATTCCTGTCCACGGCCATCAGCAGTGCCAACTGAAATCAGAGACCGGTCCTTCCCATTCTCCCCTTCACCAACTAGCACTGACCAGCGCGGTGAAGTATAGTCTATAAAAATAAATAAATAACCCCACTTAACAATGTCGGTAAACATTTGAATGCTATTTAATTTTCCAGAGTGCTTGTAAAGCAGCGCGTAACATCCCGTCGTGTTGGTTGCGTGACTAAATCACCGGGAATGTGCCCGACACCGTCAGACATCCTAAACTAAGGAGGCTTTTTCTGAAGCCTGATTAATACTTGGACTGCGTGATGGGCAAAAGAAGGCAGTGCAGGAACACATTGTACTGTGTGTGGCCCTTTATAATCTGCTGCCCACCTTCGCCCAACGTGCCGCACTGACTAGCGTGGCGAGCTATGGTCATGAATAACCCCCACGAGCCTTGTAGCGTGGCGAGGGCCTCATCCAGCAGTGGAGGGAGACGCACAACAGTGGTGTGCGTGTACGCGTGGCGTTCACTTTGCGTACATGATGAGCGTTCCCGTGCGTGTTGCTGTCCGCCACCAGCGTCAACCTCCTTCCCAATTCAGCGCGAGCAGCCTCCTTCAATGGCACCTGTTCTACCTGGTGCTCGCTCCTTCTTTTCTGCTGACCCTAAAGTCTAAAACGGGGCTCTCTCTCTCTTCGTCGTTGCCGGCTCAATCTCTTCTGTAACCGGTCCCTTGGTCGGTACATTGCTTCTCTCCTCCGCCCCATGATCGAGCGTCCCAATGCCTTCCCAAGGTCTTGTCTGCGTGTCGTTCCCGTTGACCCGTCGCCTCTCGGCTATTTTGAGTTCTCTCATCGCCATCCCACTCCTGTCCCCCGCCGCCTTCCTACTCCACGCTCCCGGAACGTCGTTGCCTCTAGACGCTGGTGTGCGTAGGTTAAGACCTCGTCGCGTTTTCTGCTTGTCCAACATCACTCCGTCCTATCTTGGCTGCAGCCTCGCAACTGGGGGTTGATGTGCATGACCGATGCTTTCCATCATTTGCCATCGGCGTGCTCTCGAAGGAAGTCCCGTCCAATTACTCGCAATAATAATGTGTGTGTTGAACTTCTTTCGCACCGTACATAGCCAACCGTGGTAATCGGAGGTGAGGGGGTAAAACAACAAACTCAATAATACAGTACAATAATGAGAACAGGGTTTCCCCTTTTTTCTGTCAACAAAACAGGTGTTAAGTTGTTAAAACACCAAACTGAAACCTTTTTACAAGGAATCATGTCTGCATTAACCACAATACTTGAGGTCAGAATGCAAACAAAAAAAAACGTACTCTGATAATATATGCATTGTCTTTGAAACTGAATGGTCCACACCAGAGACGGCTTTCTTTTGAGCCTCGTCTCAAAACGGTGTTAGACCAGAGGACGCCAAAAGGCGTACAATAATAATGACTTGTGTTTGATAGAGGATGCCCGGCTTTACGCCGGTGGCCTCTCAAGAGAGGTTTACACACTGTCAAGTGACATGCACCGCATCTCGCCACAACACACGTGACAGGGCACCCCCAGTGGCAGCTGTCTCTGAGCAGCAGGAAAAAGGTGGCACGCAGAACCTGGCCTACCAGCGGGCATCTGTCTGCCGGGGGCGATGATGATAATAATAGTATAGTAATAATCATTACTGTTTAACACACAGGTTTTCGCGATCAATATTATCGATAATAAAGTTTGTTTTTAGATTAGATTGCGTAAACATACTCGGTGTAAATGTTGTGGTTTTACTTTCCAACACGCCGGTACACTGAAATAGTAACTAATTGGCACCCTTTGTTTACGTGACAAACCTTACCGATTGGCTGTCGGGTGGTGGCGGGTTTAACCACACATTTATATTCACGAGATTTATTATGACTGTTTGATACAGCGTCGTACAAAGGTCCAATCCAAGCCGAGTAATAACATTGTTCCACTTACTGCTCCATCTCCCTCGTCCGTTTCTCCGAATTCCTCCGGTCTGATGCTATTCCTCTCTTCCCCTTCCATTTCCCCATGCGGCAATGAGGGACCACGAACTTTATTGGCCGCGAGCTCGGTGACGTCTCGCGTGGCCACTGTGGCGTGCAGGTCGACGTTGCCCGCTGCTCTACAGCTGCAACCTTAAATCCAGGCCGAAACTCGCTCCGAGGCCCGTTGTCCGAACGGGTTCTCAATTGGTAGATACAACCACGGTTCGCACGTGGATTCAGTACCGTGAGCATTATTTGCGATCATCATAATCATCATTGATTATATAAATATTTAACACGTAGGCTTTCGTGACCAATGTTGTCCATAATGGAGGTTTTTTTGGGGGGTTAGATCGTGTAAATAGATATGTGTGTGTCGTTAAACCCACCAACTCTGGCTGTCACCTGATGATGCTAGTTATAATTACTGACGAAACCTCGTACTCGAATTGTAAATATTTTGGGTTTACTCTCCAACACGCTGGTGTGCTGTAGTGTATTGGTAACGAATTGGCACGTTTTGTTTACGTGACAAACCTTACTAATTGGCTGTGTCGGGTGGTGGCGGGTTTAATTACACATTTATATTTATGTGATCTAACCCAAAAACCTCTCGTGTATCTAAATATAATTGCGTAAACACGAATTCCCTCCTTTGGCTTTGCTTCGTTGTTAGTCTCGACCACTGGCTGCTCCACGCCTAGGCAAAGCGACAAGTCTCACCCCCAAGCCCACTGACTTTTCCCAAACATTCGATGGCAGCCAAAGGAGAGAGAGGAGACAGAGCGCACGTCCACCACGGAGACGGAGCAACGAAGCCGGCTCCTGCGAAGGTGCTGGATGGATCGTGCCGCCCCGAGGCCGCCCCCCGAGCTCCTTCAATTAGACTGAGAAATTTTAAATTGTATTAGACACGGGCCCATCGGCTTCCCAGCTTCCAGTCGCATTACTTAATCTCCTTCAGAACGACAGCGCCACATGCGCCGCACACATTAACCGGATTACGGGAGGCTGTGCTTGCGACAGTGATGATGATGACGACGACTTGGGGTGGGTGGTGGTGCGGATGTGCGTCGAAATTCACGGGGAGTGACCAGAGTGTTTCTGCCCCCCCCCCCCCGCCCCCCTCCCCGGCAGAGGACCCGTCGCACCGGCGTGACGGGGCACCCTCGGGACCCCCCCGTGGAGGCGCGGGGGGCGGGACGCACGCCGCCTCGTCTCGGAGGGCCCATGGCAGCAGGAGGTTGCTGTCCTCGCCCGAATGGAACGTCACGTCGGAGGAGAAGAAGAACTGCACAGAACCCGGTGAGACGGCGGCGGCGGCAGTGGTGTCACGTGACGTCACTGCCACAGCCCATAGCGAAAGGTATTGCTGGAGTGGCGTGCTGGGTGCCAGAGAATTTCCCGGGTCACCGACCTGCGCAGATCGCGACTGAAATCGGCCTCCGGTGGCGAGGGAAGTGTGAACCGGTATTGTCCCCCACACCCCCCACCCATGTCCTCCATCAAACCCACACTGATCAGCTCTGTGGGTGAAGTATGATCAAATAGCCCTTGTGACTGACACGACACGAGTTGGGGGAAAGTCGTCGCCCCAAGTGGACCAAGAATGGCCGTCATGGCTGCGGTGTCGGTTTTTGTTCAGCTCGCAGGGGGTGGAAATCCTCCGTTCTCGTGGCAGGAGCCAGGCCACCGTTTGTGGCGCAACTTGTGTCGGGTGGTTTGGTTGCGGGTTCTTGTCCGCACGGTGGTTGCCCGTGCGGGCGATGGGGGAGGAGGGGGCGCGGGGGGGGAGAGTAGCCGAGCGATTTATTTTCTTCCTTCCTTCCCAGGGCTAATGCAACTTGAGCCTCTGAGTCGCACGCGGGGCCGCTCCCGTTGTCACGAGTTTCAATAAATGTTTCTCATACTCCCGTCAGATGTAAAAGCTGACATCGGACAACAGCAAAAAAGTGCGAAACGCACAGAGGAGACGTCCACATCGCGTTGGTCCCAACCGTTGTTCGATTTCATTCCAATTACCGTACGCTTTCCGTTATTGATATCATCATCATCATCATCGTTCTTTATTGTTTGAACACTCATCCATTGCGCTCGCTCCCGTCACTGCCGTGGGGGGACACCGGACCATCCGTCCGTGTTGACTTGCCGTGCTGGCCACATCGTTGGGATGGGAATGTCGAATCTGACACGGAATGAGTAATTCGGGGGGGTGGGGGGGGGGGGACGATTTGAATAATAATGACGCACCGCATCGCAGGGCACGGGCGAATCTACGATTTGCGGGAGATGGGGGGAACTCCCGCCCCCCCCAACCCCCGCTGTCCGGCCACCCCTATCACCGGGTGGGAGAAGCGGAGGCTTTGAGAGCTCGGAGCGCTCGTGCGTTTACCGGATGAAATTGACGATTCGCACGGCCCGCCTGTCCATCCGCTGCTGGACCGATGGCGCCTTTCCTCTCCGTGTGTGTCATTGGCGGAGGTCGGGGAATGTTTGAACCATACTTCGCCACAGTGGTCAGCCTGCGATCGGCGGCGTTGGATGGAGGCGTTTGTCGGTCAGGTGGAGGAAGGCCTCTGCCCGCCGCTGCCTCGCAACGGCGATGAGCGTCGTGCTGTACCGCTAGGGTGGCGAGATGTCAACTACCTCGCCTGGTATGCAGGAGGTCGTGGGTTCAATCCCGACACTGACGAAACCTGCAGTTTATTTGGTCGCGTGGATTTTTCTCCGGGTCCTCCGGTTTGTCTCTCCACGTTTAGAATCAACGTGTGTTTGGAGCAGTTGGCCGACGTAAATTTCCATATGTTGATGAGATACTTCGTCGAGCAAACCGTTTGTAGCCAGGTCCGATTCTGAAAAAGAGCTGGGCAGCTCAGTGGGCCTTACCTGGTGAAAAATACAACTTAAAAATGGGTTGGGCTTACACACGAGCAGTCATTGCCCACTACTGGGAAAACCTGGCAGGACCCTCCTGGAAGCGAGTATTGAGGCTCTCCTGGGTAAACAAGCGGCGTCGTAGCAATGATGATAAAAACAAAATACTCGGGAGAAAGACAGGTTGGGGGAGGGGGGGAGAACACGAGGAAAACTGGGTGAGGACAAAGAGCGAATATCGTCAATGACCTCCACCAAAGCGAACATCGTCAATTAATGACCTCCACCAAAGCGAACATCGTCAATTAATGACCTTCCACCAAAGCGAATATCGTCAATTAATGACCTTCCACCAAAGCGAACATCGTCAATTAATGACCTCCACCAAGCGAACATCGTCAATTAATGACATTCCACCAAAGCGAATATCGTCAATTAATGACCTTCCACCAAAGCGAACATCGTCAATTAATGACATTCCACCAAAGCGAACATCGTGGCGTTGGGTTCCCTGTAGCCCGGCCAACACGGCACGGCGCTAGGCTCCGCGGCGGTTTAATTATTTCGGCACCGACGCGATGGATAAATATGGGGGGGGAGGGGGGGACTTTACTGAAGGGAGGCTATTTGAATAGCAAATCGCGCTCTTTCAATACTTGAATAAATCCAAATTTATATTTGCACTCCACCGTGGCGCCTACGACCGCGAGCACATCTGAATCACCCACCTACCCCCCACCCCCCCGGGAAAAAATGTCCGTGTACAGTAGCTGTCAAAAGGCGTTACTTTGATTCGTCGTAACGTGGCAGTCGGTGCAGGCAGAGCAGAAAATAGCGCAGCGGATGAGACGGCGGCGGGAAGAAAAAAATGGGACGAAGCAAACGGAGTTCTTGTGACCACCGCCCACCAACTCCCCAAGTCTTGTGATGCGGACATTCCGTACTCTCTGGGTGGAATGATTCACAACTTCCACACCCCCCCCCCCCCCATGATTTTATGAATTGTCACGATTTGGGGGTCGCTACGCGAATAGTCGCAGCGACCCCGGAAAGGGTGATGGGCTCGTGCGACAACACAAATCCATTCCGTACAGGTTAAATAAATCCTGAACCGTGCCGATGTATACCCGCGGGATTCCGTACGTACGGGGATGACTGACTGATTTATTTAATCTGGAGTCACTGCCTGTTCCGTACAACTATTTTGTGTTTCCCCCCCCCCCCCCCCCCCGCGTTTTTAGTTTGAAAAAAAAAACTTGTTGATCTTGGCCGAACGATCACAGCATTTTCGTCTGCCTGCAATGAGGCTTGCCTGCCCGCCTGGTGCCTTTCAACTGCATTCCCACAGTCAGATTACAGGGTGCGCATTTCCTGCGCACGCAGAAAAGACAAACAAATTACAACGAGCAAATGAACAAATTGCGGTCGTTATTTCCCAGAGGTCAGGTGGAGTTGGAGGAATCGAATCCCGGGGTTCGCGCGATGAGCGTGCGAGTCGGGCGGACACTGCCTTTGCTTGTGGGGGGGTCGAGGGTCGCGGCGCGTGACCCACCTCGTCCCCCACCCCCCCTCCACGTGGGCTCATTACCGAGGGGGCGGGGGAGAGATCCCACGGCCGCGTGGCCGTCGAGAGAGCGCGGTTCATCGGCCAGGCGGCTGTCAGCAGTGGATCCCTGGGCTCCCTTGAGGTTCTTTTGTTGTTCTCCTTCTCAAAATAGGTTGCCTGTTGTCACATGTTTTGGTGCCCACTCCGACCTACTTGCTTGTTCATCAATTAATTCAGTTATTTACGTTGCGAGTGCCGTTACACATGCACGGCTAGAGCAACTGATACACAGTATGGGGTTTCTTTATGTGATGTATATAATCTCCTCCGGCTGAACGTCGAGTCCACGGAGCCACGCGGCAGGCAGCCAGATCTTCAGCGCCGTGGGCTATGAACAGAGGGCCCATTGCCCGAATCGTTGCCCGTTAAATAATGTTTCCTTTCTTTAAAGCCACGTGGTGTTATTGACGGATGTGCGGAGTGTTGTTGTTGTTGTTTGTGTGCTTGTGAACAACTGCCAACGGAGCAGCAGCAGCATCATCACAAAACAATGTTGTCTTCGCTAAAGCTGGGAGGAAAAATGTGAACTTCAGTATGGTTTTACTTTGTGCTGCACTGCACGAGATGGTGAACGGATCCTGCCCGTCACATTTGGAGACGTTAACAAATACAAAAATCCCCCGTATAGCCTTCACAGATGTTTTGGGGGGCCAGTGCTGTTTGCGAGCACCTACGATGGCCGGCACACGAGGGGGTGGGTGGCCAAAAACCATGCCCGGGCCAGCTTTGTCCTCTCACATCGCACCAGGTACTCAATTTTTTAGTCTACCTAGGGGGAGGTAGGGGAGAGGCCCACGACCGGTTCAGAGAATCATCGCTGGTGGTGGCCGCGTAGCACAGCACACTAACCGTTGCGCAACACTAACAGCACTGGTTTCACAGGCGTGACTCTGCTGATGAGACGCACGAAGTAGACGCCGGGTGGAGGCTTCACCTGCCTAAACAAAGGCCGTCCATGAAATATTTGTTCCGGAAGGCCCACAGGGTGACGGACTGACAAAATACTTATTTATTCATGACTCGACTGATTTCTGTCTGTTTATATATTTATGCGTTACCCACAATGCTCCACAATGGTGCATAATGAGTCTTTAAATGGGGACAAAGTATTTAGACAATTTAATGTCTAATGGGCTTACAAGGGCCCCTTGGCCAACACGCTGTTGCCAATAGTAATTTGTATTTAAAAGGCAGGTAAATATTGTAAAATATTGATGCGATACCTCCTCGGTGAGCATTGCCTCCTTTCCTCTGACGACTCCTGAGCCAGTGCTGGAAAACTCCACGTTCCTGTGGCGTAGACCAGTCTCTGTGTCGGACAAACAAACGACCGTTTAAATGTCCAACCAAGCGGCGCACTCGTTCTGTTCACCTTCACGACGGGAAGATGGGCCGCGTTCTCCTCAACGGCAAGGATTTTGAATTCGCCAGCTTTCGCAATGCAAAACCGCTCGTTCGCTGCCCGAGCGCCGACACCAAGTTGCGATGCTTGTGCGCGGCATCGGCTAAAGGAATACGGTCGGCGCAGAGTCTGCCCGTATACCGGAAAGAAATAAGAAGAAAAAAACCACCCCCCCCCCCCCCCACTAAGCATTGAAACGACCAAGCGACTGACAACGCTTCAATTATTAAAAGCGCGCAAACAACGCAGCGCCCGGTGCCAGCCAGGGCTTTTGTTCGGCGCTAAGGCCCAGGGGTGCGCAGGCGCCGCCGTCGCCGCCGCCGCCGCCGTGGAATTGCGTCCTCGTGATCCGCCGCGGGCGTTCTGGGGGACCGGGGGGGGGGGCCTTGGTGGCGCGGCCGCGCCGTCCTGTGGGATCGCTCC